GAGGGAGGGGATGGGTTCCTGATACCCCTTTCAGGAGATCCAACCACTAAGGAAGAAGCAGGTTCAGGAGGAGGAGGAGGAGCCTGAGAGGCTGGAATTGAGGATTGATCTAGGAAGCACCATACACATGGGAGCTAGGGAGAGGGTAGGAGAGACCTGGCCAGCTGGTCTCCAAAGCCACCACCCATTTCCCCCCATTCTCTCCCACACCTACTCACACCTGGGGGACCTCACCCCTGACCAAGGCTGACCAAGCACTTCCTGGCCCTCTAGTTTGGGCCATCTTGAAGGACCCTGCTATAGGGCTGAGAGGCCAGAAGCCCTCCGTGGGCAGAAAAGCTGGAGAAGCCGCAGGTCTGGGCCTGCAGAGGGACCCACCATTGCTGGTTGAGGCCCCTAAGTGGTGCCACCCACGTCCCCAAGCCTTGCCCCTGTTCTAATATGCACATTTTTGGGGGGCATTTCCTTCCACAGGTGGTTTTAGCTGCCTGTTCATAGGCAATACTGTCAAATGATTAGATTCAAAGTGTTTCTGAATTTGCAGTGAAATTCTTTTCTGCTTAGATCATTTCTTTAAAAGATCCATTTGGAGACTTACGAGTTTCCACCATCCTCATTGTTGTAGATTTGTTCTGCAGTGAGCAGAGTGCACTCCAGAATTCCAGTCGTCTGGGAGGAGTGGGATTGGACTGATGATGTAGGAAGGGGACCGTAAACAGGCAACTACCCCACAGCACTTGGAGAACAGTGACCAGTATTCACCCAAGAGACTTGGGAGGGCAAACGTGACATGAGTGAGTCATGGAAGGCCCATGCTGAAGCTCCCTCCAAAACATACTTGTGCGGGACCCCATGAGGCAAGCTGGCCAAAGTCAAAGCAGAAGTCACCTTCAGGCACCAGATTTCTCTGATTCAAAATTCGGACTGAATGAACGCACAGCTGCTCTGGCTTCTTTGTGGCTTCTTTGTGGCTTCGTTCTTTCCTGGAGGGGTGCACAGGAGGTAAACTCCACAAGCACTCCTGATCCAGGCACAGTCACAGCGAGGCCCACTTGCTGGCCGGAGCCCTGTGTGGCCTCTTGGACTGCCTCACTGAGGGGCTCCAGCCTCTGTGCCTTCCTAAGTGCCAGACCATGGCAGCCACCTGCGGTAGCTTTAGAGCAGATTCACAGTGAGGGTAGGGGTCAGACCAGGAGATGTGGACTTGGAGAAAAATGACGTATCAAGTAGAATTTTCCAGTCTAATGAATGATTACTGCTTCATGGGCCCCGTTTGTGCCTCCTATGACCATCCCACACATGTGGCGATGTCAGGAAGCAGTTTTGGTTGTCAGAACTGGGTAAGACTACTGGAATCTGGTGGGTGCAGGCCAGTTGTGCCACTATATATCACAGTGATGGCTGGGGGTGGTTTCCTATGACAAGGACTTGTGGGATGCCACATGTCAATCATTTCAGGGGAAGGAAACCTGAAGTATGCATTCAGCATTCCCTTTATGAATACTAGGCACAGGGCTGCAGTGTGGGCTGTTCTCAGCATTGAGGTCTCAGTAATGACAGGAAAAGCCCCTATCCTGAAATGACATCCGATTGTGACCTCCACAGGAAACTTAAGCTCCCTAATTTCCATTCTCCTCTCTGTTAAAGGTCTAATAAGAAGTTCTTTTCCTCGTCTCTCCTCAAAGCATATCCCTCTATACACATTTACAACATCTTATTTCTAACCTCATCTCAGAACATTCCTGCTCTTTGCATGTCTACATCTGCAAGTTGCTCAGGCTAATGAAGTCACCAAGTAGAAAATTTGCAGAAGCAACACTTTACAAATAGAAGCAGCTCCACCAGCCAGCCGGCCGGCGATACTAACAGAGTGGGTACCTCATGGCAGGCATTGTACCAGGTGCCAGGCAGGGTATTGTGGAGATGGAATTCCACACCAACTCCTAACCATGGGCTACTTCCTACCCACACTCAGGAAAACCTTCCAGTGTATTTCACTTGCAAAAGGGAAGTACAAGCCGGTTAAAAAAAAAAATGAAAACAGGGAAGCACAGTATTTTTATTTGTTTTCATTCCAACTTTCAGTTCGAACTTTGGGATTAAATCAGCTATTAAAGGGCACAATTAATCCAGTTTGGAACCTGAGTTTGATGACTAAAAGACACAAGTTATTCTAGATCATTCTCTGGTCATCCACTGCCTGATTTACTTTTCCTCTCCTGTATTGAGATGATTGTGGTTTTCGTGCCTCTCATTTGTAATGACTGAAAACCACAGTGATAAATGCATCTAATCGTACTTCATCTTCTTAGTCAAATATTGGCTAATGTGAAATTACTTTGACCCATAGCTATAATAAAATAGGAATATAATTCATGTGGACAGAACTCTTGAATACTTCTCTTAAAAAATTAGCATAGGAAGGAGAATTTGTTTTGAAAAAGGGAGAAAAACAAACTTTCGAGTTACTGATCCCGAGGCCTCATTGAGATACTAAGACACACAGCTTACAATTCCCAACTGCATTCTCAAGAATTCAAAAAAAAACCTTATGTATTTTTTCTGACTACAGACAACCCAATATTCCTCATAGAAAACAAAACAATTAACATAAAAACCACCTGAAACCTATCACCTTCCTGATTGTATTGTCACTTACTGCCCCATTTAAGAAAAATAATGCTTTTAAATAACTGTTCTGGGCTGCCTCTCTATCTTTTACAAATTTAACGGTGACCATAAACATATCCATGTTATTAATTGTCTTTCTACAACATCAATTTGATACTTGTTATCCTTCAGGCAGACCACATAATCCCTTAGATGAATATGCAGTGACATTTAGTCTTTGAACACTTATCCAATTACTTTGCAGGATAATTATCTAGAACAGAGTTGCTGGGCCAAGGGTTGGGGAGTATTTTAAGATCTGGGACATACTGAAGTGCATTTCTGGGGGATGCACACAGTTAGCCTCCGTAGCACTCATTTTTTCAAAGGTGGTCAACTCTGACCTGAAATGCCACCTTCACCTGAGCCTCCTTGGGTGCTTGTTAGCCCTGCATGGAGATCAATGGTCTTGATTCAGATTCTGTGAGGGACACTGGTTCCCAGCAGCCCCATCTCCAGCTGCAGACATGGGCCTGGGGTTCACTCTGATGGTTATCAGAAGAACTCTGGAGCAAAGCACCTCCCTCTCTCTTTTCAAGGGCAGAGTTACTCTTCTGCTCCACCTGGGATCACCTGAGTGAAGAAGGAGCCTAATTCCAAAGAGACAACTGCTTTATTACCATAAGAAAAATTCCATTTTGAGAGGCAACCATTAGAATGACTGAAAGGCAAATGTAGTAGATCTGCAAAATTGCTTAGAAGGCAAAGAAAGAGAAAGGACCAAAGAGAAGACATCCAGGACTCAGCCAGAGGCTACCAGGAATGCACCTGAGGTCACAGGTTGTTTTTATTACTGTTTGTGATGGAGACAGTGGGAGCTAAGAAGCATCTCAGACAGAGGGCTCTGGAAACACTCTGTCCTAGGAATCAGGCTCTGGGGTCTGCAGGTGTGACAGCTCATCTCCTGGTGACCCCAGTCCAGACATGAGCCTCAGAGCTGTCCCAGAAGGAAGGCTGCTTCTGTCTTTATCTTTTCCCCAATATTACAATTTGCTTTAATGGAGCATAGGTTTTGGGGGGAGGGCGGGGGGGGAGGGTCTAAGTGCAAGATGAAAGAGAAATTTCAGTTTCAGAATCTTGTAAGATATCTGAACTTATGAATCCAGCCCTGCCTTTCTTTCACTTTTTTATAGAAAGACTCAATGTGAGATCCTGCAGTCTGTCTCAAGCAACCCAGGCAGCAATCAAGAGTGTCCAGGTTCTTTATCCGTGACAGTATTGCAGCCATTGACCTCCTAAAACATAGACAGCACTCACGGCACGCTCCTGCCGATTTTCTCCACACTCACCAGCCTTCCCCAAATCAACCCCATTCTGACGTCTCCCAGCATAGATGAGTTTGCTTGCTGGAGCCTTGGAAAGTGCTGGTATTTCTCACTCAACGTGAAGCTTTCGAAAACTACTTGCTCACTGCCTGCCATGTGATAATGATGTCACCTGGGTCATGTCACTGTGTTGCAGGGATATTCTACAATTTACCCACCTTGCTCCTGATGGGCTCTGGTTAA